TATGACCCACATAAACAAAGAACAAACATTTCTATATAGCCTGTCAATGGGTGAGATTCCCCTTGAAATCAAGGAACTTTGTTAAATATCAATAGTATCAAATTTATGCATAAAAGTAAAAGTACTCAGTATGCAGAATGTTCAAATTCCAAATAATATATATAATTGTATTGATTCTGATTATTGATCCATTAAATTTGTACATCGCTTTAATGTTGCAGCTGGTAAAGGTTGGGCTACTTCAGCCCCATGCCAACAAACTGTGATGGACTGTGGGTTCGGACACCTTTCTATCAGATCCAGCATTAACTTTTTCAGAAATTTGAGCTACAGTAGCTTGTCTGTTGGATTGGACCACACGGGCCAGCCTTCACTCCCGACGTACATCAATGAGCCTTGGCTGCCCATGACCCTGTCTCCGGTTCACCGCTTTTGCTTCCTTGGACCACTTTTGATAGGTACTGACCACTGCAGACCGGGAACACCCCACAAGAGCTGCAGTTTTGGAGATGCTCTGACCCAGTCGTTTAGCCATCACAATTTGGCCCTTCTCAAAGTCGCTCAAATCCTCACGCTGCCCATTTTTCCTGCTTCTAAAACATCAACTTTGTGGACAAAATGTTGCTGCCTGATATATCCCACCCACTGACAGGAGCCATGATAACCAGATAATAAGTGTTATTCACTTCACCAGTCAGTGCTCATAATGTTATGGCTGATCGGTGTATATACCCGATGAGGTTGGGCATTTAGAATTTTTGAGTAAGCATGTTCCACTTGAAGGCGGCATTATTATTTGATTTATTTCAAATAATCTCACCATGTAATGTTGCCTTTCTGTTCTTTTACTACAGGAGCTTTATTGGTTGTTGCTGATCGGTGTATTGCTATTGATAAATCTGTTTAATTGTTGTCAGATTTTGTATTATAATCAGAACCTGCAAAGTAATAATTTACTAAATAATATAGATGTTGTGGAGTAAAAAGTCCAACATAGTCCTTAACACGTAACAGTGAGAGTAGAGTAGTGGCTGTGTAAATCTACTAAATTAACTTCAACCAGTCAGTGTCTGTCCCAGTTTGGATATGGTTGTATAGATGTACCAGAATACAGCAGTAGCCTAAACTAATTTGTGTCCTTCAATGTACAAATCAATGAAAGGTGAGTAGGACTGCACTGGGACGAACATTTGATCTGCTATCAGTCTTGGCAGGAGGGAAGTAACAGCTGCTACAACATAAAGCAAGGCAGAGCCGAGAGCAGACCTCTGATTTCAATTGAGGAAAAATGCTTAAATAAATTAGAAAGTAAAGTAGAAAACTGGAAAATGATTGCAGATTTAACATGACATGTCATGTGTTATGTAAATACAGATATCTGACTATTACAAAGAGTGAGTGGGGAAACAAATTGGCGGCCGTAAGGGTGGGAGAGGAGTGACATGGAGGAAGAAAATAAGGAGAGGGAAAGAATTGAGAGGGGAGCAATGCAGAGGAAGAGAGGAATAAAAAAAGACAGACTGGCAATTAACTTAACTTTGTTGTAAGAGGATAGTTATGAAATCAAATAAACCTCATACCAGATATCAGTATCAACTTGAAAAACGGGAATGAGGTGGGATCATTACAGTAAAATGAGTTTGAAAACAATGAGAGACAAGGATTAGGGTTTATCTTTGTTGTATGGTACGTATAGGATGTGAGTGTGTGCTCTTTACAGCAAGAACAATAGGGAGAGGGAGAAGAAGTGTGTGGGGTGCAATATAGAGAGGTGCTCCAGGTGCTCTGCTGCAGGCAGGCGTGGGAGAGCATCATTGTGTGTGTGTGTGTGTGTGTATGTGTGTGACTGTGTGTGTGTGTGTGTGTGTGTCACTAAAGGCCTTTCACAGCTTCTGTGTGGTGAACAGAATTATTGATCTGCAAAGAGATGGTGAAACAACCACTTATTGCCCCCTACACACACATAGACAAAATTCACTTCAGATACAGTACACTGCACTCAGCATGAGCAAAACACTATTTGATTCTGATGATGAAATGAGGCTTATCTTTGATGATCATCAAAGTCTTCAAAACAAAACATTAATGTGCACTACATATCTGTATATACAGAAGTCTACTTTAGTACGATCAATACAAACATTGAAATGGGTACAAATCGTTGCACCAAGCATCAGAAACCAGTTTAAGTCCCACACACACACAGTAGATGATGCACACACACATCCTCACAGTCCTACAAAGCCTGTGAATATACTGCCATCCCACACACGCAGCAGCACTCACACACACACACATACACACACACGCTTCAACAAGCTTCAAAACTGTCTAAACTAACGTGGTCACAGTAGGCAAAAGTAACACTTTACTAACCAGCACAGTGACTGAAGTGTGTGTTTGCGTGTTTTCTTGGCTCTCCAGTTGATTCCATGAGAGGAAAATCACCTCAACTACTTCCCTCAAACCACCACACACACACCTACACACACACACACACACACACACACACACACACACACACACACACCACACACACACACACACTCAGTCTTTTTCACCTTTCTCACACATTCTTTCTATCTTTTCTGTCTCACACACACACTCGATCTTTTTCACCTTTCTCACACATTCTTTCTCTCTTTTTCTCTCTCTTTTCACACACACACGCACACACACACACACACACACACACACACACACACACACACACACACACACACACACACACACACACACACACACACCGGGGTGTGTCTCTCTGTGTTTTAACATGCTTACAGTTTCAGCCACCAAGGGTGTCCAGCAACCACTGAGCTGCAATAGGAGCTCAGGCGATGTGAAATAAGATTTTGGAGTGTGTGTGAGTGTGCAGTGTGTGTGTGTTTGTACCCTGTGGCGTGGGACCAACTGAGTGTAGCAGAGCTCAGCCATTAGCAAGCAGTGTAAAATCCTTCTGAAACCTCTTTTCCTCCAAACATCAAAGATAGAGTCTGAAAGGCAAACAGAAAGTCCAGTCCAGTTTTGTCTGTCTGACTGCCTACACCCTCCCTCTGTCTTCCTGATTTTCTGACCACCCATTTGTTTGTCTATAATTGAGTCTCTCCCTGCTGGGATCCAATAAATGCATGGATTGAATATTTATTAAAACTCGGCCATTTCATGTGTTTCTGTCTATGTGTCAATATTCAGACCTTTGCTCAAAATCAATTCATTTAACACAGCCTATGCCCATCATTAATTCCCTGTGATTGTATGTGAATGCACACATATAGTATTTAATTTCCTATATTCTCACTACTTCTACCCACCATTTTTTGCAGTTTAATAAGTGGTGGAAAGCCAAAGCCTTCTGTGATTAATTTAACTATGTACAAGTTATAATTATTGCCAAAGTATGTTCAACAACAATACAGGCAGTTATTAGGAAAGTGAGTAATCCTGCCAACTTTAAGAAGCTGACGTCAGCATGAGAAATAGTCTGTCTGTCTGGCACCACACACTTTAGATAAACACTGCATGAAATATTACAGATTTCAATGCTTCTTTAGTTTCTGGAATAAAGGTGTTCATTGTTTTTTGTTGTATTAACAATACACATGCAGTTTTAAAAGAATGGTTGCATGGTGTTTTCTGGTAGGAATAGATGTATGGGGAGTGGTCAGAAACGGACTGGATGATTGTTTGCATTATGATATACTGTTGGAAAGTTCTACTGTCACACCAATGCCCCAGAGGTTTGTCATGAACATGCTATACAAGAAAAGTTGTTGCAGTGTGTCACATGTATTCATTAGTTGCACAGTGTTCATTGTGCTTTTGCATGCCAGGCCTGAAGAGACATGACACAAATAGTGAAGAAGAGAAGGATATTAATTTTAAAAGACTTAGTTTGCAGAGCAGAACGCATTTGGAACTTGATAAAGTGGTTGTTTAGTTTTGCTCTAAAGAACATACAGTTTCTGCTCCACGATGTAATTTGAAATCATTTGAAGTAAACAATATCATTTAAAAATACCCTATTGACTCAACAGTAGTGAGTGAAAAAGCTTGAGAGTCTAGTTGCCCCTGAAGGCTCTGCTGTTCCTTACACATGACAATGATAAGTCATGTGTTCACAGAGGTTTGAACTGACCGACTGACCAAGCAAGCATCTTACTGCCATTATAATCCTTAGAGACCTGCACTCCGTGTGGTGGGAGTAAATAGGGCAACAGTCATATTACACTTAGATGTACACACACTCACATACATTCCTGCAGCAGTGCGGCAGCCAGCCCAGTGTGGTCTTGTCTGTCCCTAATGTGAAAGGATCATCCTTAGTCCCACCGCCACTGTCAGTGTAGTCAGCAAACTGACAACTGCTGGTTCACACGCAAGCAAGCACACACATACAAATGTACACATTCCATTGTTCAAGCAGTGCAATGCTGATCACTGCAGTTGCAGCTGTGTAAGGATGTCAAACACACTTACTTTGAGAAGATTCTGGGATGTCTGATGTACTGTGGTAGCAAATCCACGAGATAAAGGAGGGTGAGGGTGGATGGGAGGATGGTCAGAGTCAAAATGGATGAAAATGTATCAAAAGATGAAGAAGATGAAAGACATCACAAAGAAGGGAAATTGTGATTCTGCAAAAGTGGGTGACTGATAAGCAGAAAGAAAGAAAGTGGATACAGAGAGGGAGGGAAGCACCAGTGTTAGATGAGGAGATGAAAGGACGGGATGGAGGAGTAAAGGCGACTGAATGCTTTATGAAAGGCGTGCCACTGAACAGAAAAGGTTAAAAAATTAGGTTAAAATGGCGTGTGCTAATCTTTTAAACAGATACCATGTAAAGTTCATTCCATGAGGACAGCCTCATCTTTGCAAGTCAACATGCACTTTGAGATGATATGCAGGTGAATAATTAAGGTAAATGGCAAAGGTTAAATTATTACGTAAAAGTTATCTTTAAGGTTAAAGGGGCCAGCTCCACCAGTAAATGAAAGGATATGGGCTGGAGACCATACGGATGCACCAGTTGCGAGGACAGGTGGTCTGCTTGAGGCAGAAGAAGACCACAGGCGCCAGCTCTGGGAAGGGCACCACAAGGGTGCTTAGGTCACTGCCGATGCTGACATCATCTTCTGGACCCACTTCCTCAATGATATCATCAGCGTGCGCCGAGCCGTATTCCTCACTCTGCCCTGGCCCTGCTGAGGAAAGGCTCCCCAGCGGCACAGGACACTCCTCGCTCGTCATGGCAACCCAGCCGAAATCTGAAAGACAATGTGAATTGACACTGGGATTAGAGGAATTAAATAATTATCACATTGTTTGACGTATTACACTGACTTTAGATAACAGAAAACGCCTGCTTTGATTTAATTAACGTGCCGTATTTGCGCCGCAGAAAATAAATATAATGAATAATGAATATGTTTATTTCATGAAAGTTGGATTGGACAAACAGGCTTTTGGCTCTGCAGTCATTCCCATAGACCACTAAATCACCCCCATGTCATAACATCACCTCACAACTCACAGATATTTAATGCTTGTTGTTTTCCAGCCCCAAAGGCCCATCAGTCTCTCGCTGTCTCTTTGCCCTGCGAAAGCTAATGCTCTTATCGTAAACTCACTTGTCTGCATAACAGAATGCATTGCTTACTGATAACAATCACCTCTCACAATCAAACAAACACAGAGGGGTACTACAGCGGAGAGTAAATCAATGTCAACAGTCATTGCACATTCATTGACGATTCATTTAGCCCCATCACAGTGTTGTGCAAGAGGAAATGACTTCCCATCCCCTAACCACTTAGCTCATGAATGGATTCACTTTTATCTGTGAATATAGCACACACACAAACACACACACACAGGCACACATGCATATATGCACAATTTCTGCATTATCCACTGTGCAATTTTACACATACCTGCTTAAACATTTTTATAAACAAAGAACACAATCCTACTTCTAATTTTGTTTTGTAAAAAAAAAAAAAGAATTGTGAGTGTTCACTACTGCTGGCAAAGATGTCATCATGTTCTTTTAAGGATTCAAAGGCAAACAGATGAATCATACGAGAATAAACAAAAGAGCAAAGAAAGACATAAACTTTGTTGTTTTGGCTCAGCCAGTCTTCATGTCCATCCAACCGGTAAGCCAGCTAGCAAGTCAACCATTAGCTGCCAGAGCCTAAGTGAATGCATAATAACATATTGGACTTGGTAGTTCTCTTGCTTTCAACTGACAGCCAAAGGAGGCCGCCAGCAAGAGGCAAGGAGCCAAGCAAAGGCCGGACATGTGCATAGCTGGACATAAGGTATGCACAATCATGCACACACACGGTCACAGTATTATTGTCTGGCTGTACTTGCAGTAATTCGTATAAGTAATATTAAGGGCATGTTTGAAGCTGCTGCATGATAAATTTAAGCTCTGTGATCATGAGTGAATTTTCATCTTTAGTATCACCAATGTGATATTTGTATATGTGTATCTGTGCTACAGACACAAGCAGATAACATGCGTTGGTGTGGTTTCCTTTATGTGCATGTGTGTGTGTGCATGAGTAAATGTGTTTGTTTGCACTAAATCCTACAGTAGGATTAAGTGCCAGTGGGAGAGCAGACTTTGTTTTTATAGGATAATGATATTAAAGGCTATTCATTACAAGCTAAAAAATAGGACAGTGGTGATTTAGTAGCCGGTATCTTTCACAGCTCCAGAGCTAATCCTCTGACGAGATGTTAAAACCATGTGGAGATTTCAAAAACATGAGAAAGGGGAAAGTCACCCCCCCACACACTCAGTGACAGGCTGATATGTTGAGTCTCTTTGCCTAATAATCATATACCTGTGTATACATTTATTATCTCAGTACAAATACACTGTCTCTCAAACCAGGCTATTTTTTTGCCTTTCCAAAACTGGCCTTTTAAATTAGCTTTACCATGGCAACAGCTGCTTCCTGTGGAGGCAGGAAGTTTATTCTTACTCTGCTGTGTTTTATTTCCCATGACAAAGCTTCTTAGAGAGATCCTGCAGCTATTACCGGCGACTACAATTAAGCAGGAGACAGCTTTGCAGAAATGGTTGGAAGTGTTTCCAGTGTGTTATGCGTGTGTGGGTCTGTAGTAAAGACAGTGAAAAAATAGCCCCACTCGCATATTTGTTTGCATAATAAAATTATTTCATCAAAGTTTTCTGGACCATAATATTGCTGCTCATTCTCCAACACTCTTTTCAGAATATTCCTACATGCTGGGAAAGCTTCCACTCAGTGTGTGTTTTTTGTGTATAATGATGACGACTGAAGAATATGTGTGTGACAGAAAGAGAGAGAGAGAAATAGAGAGAGAGACTTTGCACACTGCTGTGTTAGCACACACACACACACACACACACACAAACAAATTCACACTTTCTCAACATACACACTCTCACACATTAACACCCTTAATTGGGGTAGCGGATATACAGTCACCTATTTAGCTGCACTATGAGCTAAAGGCTGTGATGAGCCATGGAAAAACTTGCTTTCCCCCTCCCACACACACTCACTGCGACAGTCTGAGACAGACACAGGAAGAGGCTGGATGGAAAACAACAGTGAAAACATACTGTGGATCCATGAGGAGTTTTGGGCAACACATTCTTCATTTCAAGCGCTTCATATTGCCAATATGAATACAAAAAAGCTGTGAAAAGCTGCATTTTCTGTCCTCGCTGGGTGTTTACACTGAGATCAAAAATCTTATGTATATTACCCGAGGGATACAAGTAATGACTAAAATTCTCAGTGAGTCATTGACTGAGCTCAAACGTGAATGCTCCAGATAAGGAATTTGAGGCTTAAAACAAGAAATTATGTGGGTTCCCAGTGTTCTCAATTCTGCTATGAATGCCTGTAAGCTATGCACTTTCAGAATCACAGATTACGCTTGTAATGTACTTTCAAAGAGGAATGTGAATTTGTGTGGTTCCTCAAAGCTAAAATCAATCTTTTTTGCATGATCAGCACTGCAAGTGCCATTGTGGTGCATCTATGAAGTTGTTTCACCTAGCTGTAGTTAAAATGTCACAGGCTGACCAGGTGAAATTAACATGAATGTGTCAATTAAATGGTTTTCATTTTCATTTCAACATCTTTCAGGGGGTTCAAAGGGATCCCCAGATAAGTGGGCAATAATTTAATTTGGGCCTAAGCTTTGGGTCGATTAACCTATTGAAACTGCTTGATAATTATTATTTTTCACAATGAAAGTTATGTGTCATATGGGTTTCGCACATGGGTGTGGCAATATGGCTCGACAGCAGTCCCTAACGTGCAGCCCCTGCGGCACGTTTCACCAATATGCATGAAAACTGGGACAAACTTATATCATGCCCAGACTGGGACCCATACCCCAAAGTCAACAGGAAGTCTGCCATTTTGGATTTAGCTGCCATTTTGGACATTTTGCATGCGTTATATTTGAACAAACTCTTCCTAGGTTTAAGTTTTTGTCAAAGGCCGTGTCTGTGGCATGGCGCCAATTTTTTTATGTATCTTCAGTGTACTATGTTTAATCAGCACCAAACTTAACAATTTTATATTTATATTGTTTTATACTTTATGAAATAAAAGTAATGTTTTATTGTTTGCTGGCTAACATGACACATATTCCAGAAAGAAATGGCAGCTATTTAATTGCACAAAGTTACCTCTTTAGGTACTGAGTAAATTAACTGTTGTACCATCAACGGGTAGCAGGGGTTAAAAACACTGTCACCAACATTAGAGAATAACCCTTCTGCTTATAGAGCTATACGTTTACTATGGTAACAATTATTGCGTAATCTCATTTAAGGATTAATTAATTAACAAGTAAAAATATGCATCCTATTATACTATGCACACGACTAAAGCCAGTTGTGTAGCTTTGGAAGGCAGCCCAAAGTTTCTGCTAGAAAAATCAGGACATCTGGGAAAGAACTGATACCGTATTTGACATATTGCAACACATAATCCTCAGTTTCTACAAGGAAAAGTTATTAAAAGTGCCTCACTGTAATGTTGCATTATGAGTTTCAGAAGTTATAAAGATTGGTGTAGAAAGTTGCAGGGGAAGATGATTTTTTTTTTTCCCTCAGCAAAAATACACCTGGGTTAGAAGTGTCCATGATGTACGCATGTGTGTGTCTACGTGTGTGTGTGTGTGTGTCTGTCTGTGTGTCAGGTGATTTGGGACAATGCTGAGCCCAGCACAGCACTCACAGACAGCCAGGGATCTGTCTGTCACACCAACTTAACACAACAGCCGGCTGTTAACGTTTCCTAAATTCTTTCTCTTTCTGTGTCAAAACACAGTAAAGGACACACAATATTATCTCTTGAGAACACACATGCAAGTGCAGACATGTGTGTGTCAGACTGGGCTGAAAAATGAGCATGAACAAACACAGGGTAGATCCCTGATGGTCAGTATTGTCCCGGATGTGTGTGTGTATGTGTGTGTGTGTGTGTAGGTGTGTGTGTGTCAGAATAAACATAATGCACAATTGGACCAAGTGGCTAATGCTATTAGAATCACTTGAGGGTAGGGATCCCTTGAGAACACAACTTAGGCTACACACCCCATGCGCAAACACACATCCTCACAACACACACGCTCACACACACACACACACACACTTACTCCCTGTCTCGTCAACTATGTCAGGCAATGCTTCATCCACAGACCTGAGACAAACTGGCTTTGACACCTATTGCTGAGTGATCAAAACAACACATTACTTTGTTACTGAGACTATCAATATATTCAATGAGAGAGTATAATGTATTTATAAACCAGCCACTGACAGGGGAGCCAAAGCTGAATAAGATGGCTGGCTTTTTGACAGCACTATAAAATAGCTTTCTAAAATGTGATAAATGTGACTCTCGCATAACGGAGAAGAACATAATTCCCACTCTGTAACTTTGCCTTGCCAATAAACCTAAATATGTCTAGTTTGGTGCCATTGTAATATTTAAATATGTCAGTGTAAATTGGCTTTTGAGCCTGATGAAACATCTTTATTGCTAAACTTTACAGGACAGCTCAAAATAACCACTGCCTTGCCTTTGAAGTTGATTATTAATTCTGCATTTTCTTTTCTTTTCATTTGTGTCCATTTTCTACATTTACACAGGCCTGGCTCTATGTCTTCACAGAACAAAAAAATTAGGACACATGTTCTTCACTTAGAGTATGCTATCTATCTATGTTAACAAGGCTATAT